TCCCTCCCTCCCTCCGTCCCTTGATTCCTTCCTTCCTCCCTCCCTCCCTCCCCCCTCCCCCCTTCCCTCCCTTCTTTCCTTCCCATAATGGTTAGAATGCAGTATTGTGGTCTAAGTCTACCCAAGCAGTTTGATTCTCAACAGGCTCAAGGTTGGCTCAGCCTACCTTCCTTCCGAGGTGGGTCAGCATCATCCTGAAAGACTTTGGCAGACTTCTATTGGACTCTTTACAAACTATTTGTGACTTATTACGGGCTGTGAATGGACATAATTCACAGCTGTTGAAATAAAAAGAGGTTTTTTGGGACTAAGCATGTGCCTTTTACTGTCTCAGGAAGCCTAAGTCAGAATAACAATATGGTTTCTTGCTCCTTTACAGATGAAGGTCCCAGCGAGACGGGGTGGCAGGAACAGTGAAGATGACAGCATCCGGGAAGCCACCAGCTCCCAGCTCAGTAGCTCGAGGGACTGCCTCAGTGATGTGAGTACTTTACAAGAAACCCTGCTGTGTCATCTACCTTGTACGAACAAATGTTGGCATTCAGAGGTCAACGTGTAATAACTTTCTCTCCCCATCCCTATGTCATGACGAGTGTTAAGCTGAGTTCTCTTGCAAACACTATAATCACCTCGCAAATAAGATGAGCCGAGGTGGCACAATGGTTAGAGTACAGTACTGGAGACTACTTCTGCTGCCTACCGGCTGCTTGCAATTTGGTGGTTCAAATCTCACCAGCTCAAGGTTGACTCGGCCTCCCAAGGTGGGTAAAATGAGGACCCCGATTATTGGGGGCAATAGGCTGACTCTGTAACCTCCTTAGAGTGGGCTGGGAAGCACCGTGAAGCAGTATATAAATCTAAGTGCTATTGCTATTCTACTGAAGGGCCTATTTTAATTCCTCGGCCTCTGAGCTTGGTGGGAGTTGGGATCTGAAGGATGGAAAGAGGTTCATTGCCTCCCTTTGAATTGCCCAATTGCTGCCTTTGAGTGAAATGTTGTGATCAAACAAAAACCAGACGGTAGCTTTGTGTATAAACACCCAAATGGGTCCTTTCCCCCCACCCCCTTCATCTCCACCCACTTTTTTTAAACTCCCTTTCAATAGCTAAGAAATCAATGAAAGTGCTGAGATAATTTTATGTGAAGTCCTTTGTGTGTGTGTGTGTGTGTGCGCGGTGTTAGCAATTAGCATTTCGCCTTCATTAAAGCATGATTTTTTGCTAATTAGGCCCTTCCCCGTTAGGAGAGATTTAAATGACGAACAATAATCCAACACTGGCACCAGGCATGTCTGAAATATTAAATTTAACATTTCAGTGGCGAGCCACGCCAGTGTCCCAGGGAGAGTAAGTTTTCATGTTGAGTTCTATTAATGTGAAATATGCTGCGCATAAGTAAAACCTGTCACAGGGAAAGCAGCTCATGCCAACTAAATTCAATTGGACAGTTAATTTAGCTTTAAAATTGAAAACACTACCTCTGTTTCTAAATGCGAGGGGGAGAAAAAACAGCCTTTGATAAGCCTAATGTATTTGCTATTAAGGCGCTCAGCGCTTACACACACACACGCACCCCGGAGAAGAAGGGGGGGAGGGAAAGAGACTGGGGGGGGGGGGGGGGGGGGGGGTTAAAACAGCTCCCACAAATGTGTTTAAAAGCTGAAAGTATTTATTAAAAATGTCAGCTGAAAAGTGCTCTTGGCAGATTAAAACGGGATTCAGCTTGACGACTCTGACAGCCGACTGCGGCGGTAGAAGCGACGGGAAAGGAAGGAGGGACTCGAATTAGACGAGTGTGACGAGCACGTGAACAAGGAGTAACAAGCGGTGTGGTAGGGAGGAAGGAATTAAATGTTAGGTGATTTTCCTGTATTCTCACTGGCTCAAGATTGATTCATTCCTCCCTCCTCCCAAGGTCAGTAAAATGAGGACCCCGATTGTTGGGGTCCGTAGGCTGACTCTGTAAACCGGTTAGAGAGGGCTGCAAAGCGGCATATAAGTCTAAGGGTTATGGCTATTCTCCTTCCTTATTTCCTTCCTTCCTTCCTCCCTCCCTCCTTTCTTGCTATTGCCCTTCCTTCCTTCCTTCCTTCCTTCCTTCCTTCCTTCCTTCCTTCCTTCCTT